ATATTGAGTTCTTAAAGCTTATATAAAATGTTTGGTGAGGTAATAATGAATACTGTAATAATATGTTACATTATAAATAAATTGTGTGAAAGTTAGGATTTTTGTGTTATTTATCATAGCATCCACCCACATATTATATCCACCCATCATAACATGGACAAAGGACAGGTACCTCAGCTTCTTGTGTTATTTATCATAGCATCCACCCACATATTTCTTTAAATCCATAATCCATACAAAGGACGGGCACCTCTGCTTGTTCAATATATTTACTATTAAGGAATTGTACTGTTTAGTTGACAGAATCACAATAGTTTCCTTTATCAGCTATTTTGTCTTCACTGTTTTTAAGAAGTCTGAGGCCTTTCTGCTGATGTCAAAGTCTGCTTTATAGACTTCTATCTGTTAGTATTTATTAAGTCTTTTAATCTGGGAAGATTTTTCATGGATCTGCTTTTGGTTTGGAAGGGAAATAAATTGTTCTTGTCTTCTGGTATGTTGAATATATCTTTGTTGTCTTTCAATGAATTAGACGGGGATTCTTCCTGTGGTCTTCGACTTGGGATTAGTTGCTGTTGATTGGAGTTGTGATTTGATTCAATTATTGCTTTCCTGCAAAGGTCTTCAAAGCTAGTTTTTAAATCTAACACTGGGATGGTGAGAGGGAGTTACTGCATAGTTAAGACCTTTATTTAGGGCTATGGTTTGAAATTCACCGAGTTGAATGTATTTTTTTTTACAGCAACAGGTTTTGCTTTCTTTGGATTGTGTAAAGTTTTTTTAGTTTTCTGTTAAATTTTGAAATTTTAAAGTAGGTACTTTTTTCTGTATTAACGATGAAAGTACGTTGTAATCTTCAGGGGTAGTAAAATACGAGAGGCTGCTACAGAAGTTAAGTTCATTTTTGTGAAGAAATTTCAATTCTCTGTGTTTTTCTCCTTTATAGTTTGTTTTAAAAGTTTTATTTGAGTTTTTTTTATGATAATTTTGATTTTTATGTTAAACTTGACGATCAGTTTTATTTTTAGAAATATTCTTCCTTAATGTAAAAATCTGTAACTTATAATAAATCTAAAATGATGTGTATACCCTCAAATAACGAATTAAACGGGTATTAGTTACTTATAGGTATATACATTACAATATTAATTTACAGGTATACATTTATAATATTAATCTAAAAAATTAATATTTACAAAATAGTGAAGTTCATACACTTACAGTATTAACTGTAAATGTGTTGAAATGTTCTAAAGCTAAAGTAACAGATCAGTAATATCAAATAATGACTATTTGTGACAATATATAAATGCTTTTGTTTTGGAAACATTTATCAGTACCAACATCTTTGTAATGTTTCTGAATAAGAACTATTGTAAGATTATGTAACTACAACAATCTCTGTATTAGTATCTCCACAGTGAATGTTCATACCACTAAACAGTTTAACACTAACAAGCTGGTAATACCTTCCGAATCCCTTGATTCTTGATCTGTAGAGCGTGAAGAAATGGGTAATCCATTATAATGAGCACCACCTAATTTACTGTTAATAGAAGGGTCAGTCTTTGGTGTTTCAATCATGGGTAGAGTATGGTTCTCAGTTCTATTGCACTGTGACATTTCTGTTGGACATTCTCTTATTTCACTAGCCTGCTCAATCGGGCAGGGATTTGGACCTGGTGGTCTGGAGTCTGGTTCCTGACTACAGGACTGTCCAGAGAGACCCGTTGTTGGAGGGGTTGGTTGAGATCTAGAGACATAAAGAGACTCCCTACTGCTACTATTACTGTGACTACTGCTACCCCTAGACGAGCTTTTTTCTGATGATCTGTCCCTTCCTTTCCTGCAATGTTAGTCATTTGTTAAGACTCAGGTGGTATTTTTATAAGTAAATACAAGCATACAAAAATATTTTCTTGACTTATAATTCTGATATTAATCATAAATTGTAAGATTTACAATTTTCAGAAAAATATTCCAAAATAATCTCAGATCTTTTTCTTACACATTTAACTGAACTGAAAAAAATAATTTTCAAAATTGTTTACTTTTCTTTAGAAAAAAAAACTAATGTTAGTTGAAATATGGTTATTAAGTTACAGCAACTCTTATGTATTGAATGATGAGGCACAAAATCATCCTTCCTACATACAACTTTCAAACATTAGTTGGTCACAAAAACTATCTTCTTGAAAAATAATTTTAACACCAGTACTTTGTATTTTATAGCAATGCTACTAAGCCTTGCCAATTCTCAACTAGTCAGTTTAAAGTGGATATTTTGTGGTATCATACAACTTTGTAAGTAGCTCACCAGCTCTCTACATCACAGATAACCCATGCCCACCAACCAAACTAAAATTATATTCAGAATGTTTAACATTTTAATATTTCATAAGCAGATAGAACAATTATAAATAGTAACATTACACTTACCAGTTCTCATAGTAACATTACACTTACCAGTTCTCATAGTAACATTACACTTACCAGTTCTCATAGTAACATTACACTTACCAGTTCTCATAGTAACATTACACTTACCAGTTCTCATAGTAACATTACACTTACCAGTTCTCATAGTAACATTACACTTACCAGTTCTCATACCAACATTACACTTACAAGTTCTCATACCAACATTACACTTACAAGTTCTCATAGTAACATTACACTTACCAGTTCTCATACCAACATTACACTTACAAGTTCTCATACCAACATTACACTTACAAGTTCTCATACCAACATTACACTTACAAGTTCTCATACCAACATTACACTTACAAGTTCTCATACCAACATTACACTTACAAGTTCTCATACCAACATTACACTTACAAGTTCTCATACCAACATTACACTTACAAGTTCTCAT